CAGCCTCCTGAGTAGCTGGGATTACAGGCACGCGCCACCATGCCCAGCTAATTTTTTGTAGTTTTAGTAGAGACGGGGTTTCACTATGTTGACCAAGATGGTCTCGATCTCTTGACCTCGTGATCCACCCGCCTTGGTCTCCCAAAGTGCTGGGATTACAGGCTTGAGCCACCGTGCCTGGCTGCTTTTTTCTTTGTTTTTAAGACAGGGTCTCTGTCACCCAGGCTGAAGTGCAGTAGTACAATCATAGCTCACTGCAGCCTCAGCCTCCTGAGCTCAAACAATCCTCCTGCCTCAGCCACCCGAGTAGCAGGGACTACAGTCACGCACCACCACACCTGACTAATTTTTAAATTTTTTGTAGAGATGGGCTTGCACTATATTGCCCAGGCTAGTCTTGAACTCTTGACCTCAAGTGATCCTCCCACCTCGGCCTCCCAAAGTGCTAGGATTCAAAGCTGACTTAATTGACTTATACCTTGGTGGTGGTGGTGCTGCACTTTCTGTATTTATCTGTAATGTCCATGAATTGCTTTTATAAACAGAAAATAAATTATTTAAAGTTGTATTCCCAGAGATCTGTGTGCTCAGCCCTCCACAGAGAGGCCTTAGAGATGCAGCTAGGAGAATGTAAGACTGCCTCTGTCCCATCTAGAATCTTGAGGTCTGGGCCGGGCGCAGTGGCTCACACTTGTAATCCCAGCACTTTGGGAGGCTGAGGCAGGTGGATCACAAGGTCAGGAGTTTGAGGCCAGCCTGACCAATGTGAAACCAGTCTATACTAAAAATACAAAAATTAGTCGGGCGTGGTGGTGGGCACCTGTACTCCCAGCTACTTGGGAGGCTGAAGCAGGAGAATTGCTTGAACCCAGAAGACGGAAGTTTCAGTGAGCCAAGATCATGCCACTGCATACCAGCTTTGGAAAAAGAGCAGGACTCTGAAAAAAAAAAAAAAAAAAAAAGAAGAAGAAACTTGAGGTCCAATTGTTGAGATTGGACATAGCAGAAAGAAAAAAGATGGTGATGGAGAGAGGAAGGTAGCTGTGCCAGGCAGTGCTAGGCAGGAGGTATAGGGATCCAGGACCAATGCGTGGGGTGCCATGAAGTCCAGCAGGGCCACGAGAGCTCAGACCAGGCAAGAGGACTTTCAGTCCAGGCAGGACAAACAGTATGGAGGCAAGAAGATGCCGTGACCCCAGTGACAGCATTGTGCCACCCACGACCCAGGTCCAACAGACAGGGGCAAGCCTCAGAGCTGGGAGCCTGGTTGTTTAGACTGTAGACCTGGGCTGTCTTGTACAGTAGCCACTGCCACAAACAGCCATTCAGCACTTAAAATGTCTCAGTCAGAAACAGGATGTGCTATATGGGTAGTACACCAGATTTTTAAGACTTAGTATGAATAAAAAAGAAAGTTATCTGGATGCAGTGGCTCACGCCTGTAATCCCAGCACTGTGGGAGGCTGAGGCGGGCAGATCACCTGAGGTCGGAAGTTCAAGACCAGCCTGACCAACATGGAGAAACGCCATCTCTACTAAAAATACAAAAACTAGCCGGGTGTGGTGGCGGCACATGCCTGTACATCCCAGCTACTCCGAAGGCTGAGGCAGGAGGATCGCTTGAACTAGGGAGGCGGAGGTTGTGGTGAGCTGAGATTGCGCCACCATACTCTAGCCTGGGCAACAAGAGCAAAATTCCATCTCAAAAACAGAAAAGAATGTAAAATAGCCTATTAGTATTTTGTACATTGATTAAATATTGCAATGACGCTCTTTTGAATATACTGGGTTAAGCAAAATACATTTGTCTCCTGCAGTGGACAGGGAGCTCCTTGAGAACAGCAATGCTGGCCCAGTCATCTCTGTATCCGGCACCTAATGCAGGGCCTGGCACGAAGCAGACTGTCATCAGTGACTGTAGAAAATGAACCCTGCTTAGCTGGGGATACCCACTGCTGTATCACCCCTGCACACAAGTTCTCCATTACTTCTCCTTGGGCTTGGCTCCTAAAGAACGGCATCCCTAATCCCAGACTCCCTGCTGTGAGCCTTGGCCTCGCCTCCTTCCAGTAGTGCCCCACCCCTGGCCCTGGGGTCAACATCAGGAAGGGGATACGGAGGGTGTGGCTGATGTCCACTCAGGCTGGGGCAGGCCTGTGTCCCTGCGCAGAGCAGACCCTCCAACCTCAGAGCAGAACCTTACTCACCAGCGGAAGGAAGGTCAACAGGGGCCGGACTCTTGGCCGAGCTTTCAGCGTGGCTGTTCCTGACTCGCTCACTGTGTTAAACTGATTGTCTCCAAAATAGATGCCATCTAGGGAACACAAGTGAGGAGACACCATAAGCTGGAGATCCAAGGCATCCGGCCACCCGAGTTTAATCTGCTCTTCAGCTCCCAGTGAGGAAAGCCAGGGCCTGCACGTTCCCCGGTGTTGGACTCAGCTAAGTGCCTCTAACATCTCTAACACAATCAGACCTGACAGATGAGATGTTTGCAAATAGGGCCAACTGAGGTGGCACCGGGGGAGGAGCGCAGTGTTCCTGGGGCTTTCGGACCCCGGCTGCCATCTTTCTCCCAATCCACAATCACCACCCTTCGCTGGTCCTGAGCCTTCTCCACCACAGCAGTGGTCTTAAGGAAGGACCAGGGAGCCCAGCCAAGGGCCCAGCCAAAGCTTATCTCTGAGAGAGGGAGGAAAGCAAGCCAGATTTCCCAAGTGTTTGAATTTCTAGTCTGAAACAAACAGAGCAGATGAGGCCACCTGCTGCCCCCAGTGGCCAATACCCCATCATCTGGACTCCTTAACTCAAGACCTCCCTGACCACCAAACCACAGATGGATGTGTGTATGGCTTTCTTTAATGCGCCCTTGAGGGCAGAGCAGAAAAAACGGGACAGTAGGGTCAGTGTGACCTGCTCTGCCACTGGCTTTACCTCTCTGGGCCTCAGTTTTTCCTTCTGTACAGTGGGAGTGATGATAGCGCCGCCGTATAGCTCTGTTGTGAGGAGTGAGTGTGGCCAGCGCATCAGCGCATAGTAAGTGCTCAGCAAACATGGTTGCTTACCCTGTAGGAGGACGATATGAAGGACCTTCCTCTTCCTCCAGTTACTGGGCCTGTGCTCTGTGCTGCTCTCTGGCAGTGGGAGGGCCTGAGGGGCCACTCACATCACATCACATCCCTTTCTCAACTTCCTCATGAGCCTTGATACACATTGACAAGAAATTCACACTCCCTTGGTAGGGATCGCCGTGGACCATCTGCTATGTGGCTCATGAGCAGGGAGAGCTTTCCTCTATTTAATAGTATATGGAGGACTTTGCTTGACAGCCAGGGAGGAGAGAAGAAAAGTCAGAATCCCAGTTAGCCAGAAGTCTACTAACCGGGACATTGAGCTAATCATGATTACTTTTCTCCTTGTACATGACTTCCAGAGAAAACTGCAAGAAAGCTAAATGATTTATTCAAAAGAGACTGGGCTTGTTAGGAAGATCCTGGGATCAGACTACATCCATCGCAAATTCCTACACTGAGAGCCACAGTGCCCCATGTGAGCATCTGGGCTTTAGATGTGACAGGGAGGCTCCTGGGACACTACTTCTCCACCTCTCAAGAGGGGCCCAAACATCGGCTCTCTGTGTGCTCCACATGTCCCTGGAAACTTCGGTTCCCAGCACTGCCCTGCCCTGCCCTGTGCACTCTGGGCAAACATGATTTCCCAGTCTCAGTTGCCAGGCTCCATGCCTGAGGCAGCAGACCAAGATCGGACGGGGAACAGGGGAGGGGAGCTGTAAGATCTGGCCCAATGGGAAACAACAGCCGCTGCTAAAGCCCCCGATTCCCTCACTTCCAAGAGTCTGCGTGTGGACGCCAGGATCTCCTGCAACATTCTCTACAGAGGGCTGTGTGGATGCCAAGGCCTCAGACCTGATGTGATGTGGCTGCCTGGGTCCTTAACAGGACTGGACATGGGGTGGGGATTGCACAGGGGCTGTATGAGAGCCATGCGCCTAGGCGGGGCTCTAATCATTTCATTTCATCTCTGCATCGATGTTGGGATCTAGGGAGCCTCCTTCCTACAGCTGAGTTATTGTCATATTAATGGCTACTCTTATCGGATGTCCAGGAGCTTTAGAAGTGCTATATCTGAGCAACCTGGCAAGGATGATAACTGGAATGGTAATAACAGTAAACGGTAAAACTTAGTGAGCATGTTTTTTTTTTTGTTTTTTTTTTTGAGACGGGGTTTCACCATGTTGGCCAGGTTGGTCTCGAACTGCTGACCTCAGGTGATCCGCCCACCTAGGCCTCCCAAAGTGCTGGTGGGATTACAAGTGTGAGCCACCGCGCCCGGCCTTACCTTTTTTTTTAATCTTTTTTTTTTGAGATGGAGTATTGCTTTGTCACTTAGGCTGGAGTTGCACAATCTCGGCTAGTTGCAACCTCCGCCTCCCAGGTTCAAGTGATTCTCCTGCCTCAGTCTCCCAGGTAGCTGGGATTACAGGTGCCCGCCACCACGGCTGGCTAATTTTTGTATTTTTAGTAGAGACGGGGTTTCACCATGTTGGCCAGGATGGTCTTGAACTCCTGATCTCAGGTGATCCGCCTACCTTGGCCTCTCAGAGTGCTGGGATTACAGGCATGAGCCGCCATGCCCCATGCAAATTGGTACAGTCATTAGCCCTGTTTTACATTTGAGGAAACTGAGGCACAAGGTCAAATAACTTGCCCAAAGCCTCACAGTAAGTGTTGAAGCCAGAGTCTCCCTAAACCGCCTCACTGATCCCATGACTCAGCCCCAAGTCTGAGGCACTGTTGTTTTGGTTGCTTTATGGTTGTTTTAAGCAGACAAACCCTTTCTAAGAATATAATTGTTCTCTGTAAAACATATAGAAGGAGGCCAGGCACAGTGGCTCATGCCTGTAATCCCAGCACTTTGGGAGGCTGAGGCGGGTGGATCACCTAAGGTCGGGAGTTTGAGACCAGCATGACCAACATGGAGAAACCCTGTCTCTACTAAAAATGCAAAATTTGCTGGGCATGGTGGTACATGCCTGGAATCCCAGCTACTCGGGAGGCTGAGGCAGGAGAATTACTTGAACCTGAGAGGCAGAGGTTGTGGTGAGCCAAGATCGCGCCATTGCTCGCCAGCCTGGGCAACAAGAGCAAAGCTCTGTCTTAAAAAAACAAAACAAAACAAAACAAACAAACAAACAAAAACACATAGAAGGGTAGTAGCTGTGGTTGAGACTGGGTTGGAAGGCCCGGCTGGCTCTTCTCCCCACTGGGGCACCTCTGGAAAATCTGATTTGACTTCCCAGCCCGAAGAGGAGTGGCTAGGAGTCACAGAGGGAAAGGTGATACGGAGGCAGAGGCGGAGAGATGCGCTGTGAGAGGGGCTTGCCCTCCACGGCCGGCTTTGAAGATGGAAGGAGGCTGCTGGCCGAGGACTGTGGGCTGCCTCTGGCAGATGGAACAGGCAAGGAAACAGACTCCCCTGGAGCTTCCAGAGAGGAACAAAGTCTTGCCAACACCTTCACTGAGCCCACAGAGACCTGTGTCAGAGTTCTGACCTACAGAATTGAGAGATGGTAAATTTGTTATAAAAATAAGAAAAGGAGGTGTGGCTGGAACCAGGCCAACTCTCGGGGCCCCTCAGACCTGGCCCAGCTCCTGCTGGGTGGAGACACAGCTAGACCCTCAAAGCATTCAAGGTCAGGGCTGGGACCTTCCCAGCCTCAAGGACAAGGCTGAAAACTAAAACAGAAAGGCAACGGGGCTCAACCTTGGGGAGTTTCCTATGGAAGTGCTGAACTTTGCTCAGATCACAAGTCAGGGATGCTGGGGCCTTCCTGAGAAGCAGCTCCCTCCTTAGTTGAGGAGGTAAAGGAGGGCTAGGGACATCCTGGTGTCCCTTGAGGAAGGAGGGGTGAGGGGGTGGTGAAGGGGGTACTTGGAGAGGAGGCTGGATGATTTGCTCTCGGTACAAGACTGCAGTGAGAAAGAGGGGCCTGGCCCCATGTCTCATCCACTCTGAAACTTGCAAACTCCCTCGAAGTCTGCCTTTTTTCTGGAAAGTTCCTTAGGGATCTCAGAGGTTTTATGCTTGCCACATGCACGGACCAGAGAGGCAGCATTGGAACATCCAGGTGGGATTCAGAAAATTGGAAAAGGAAGGGAGATACCCCTGGACCCAGAAGCTTCCACAGAAAGAGAGGACTTCAGGAGAGCCCCAGGGCAATTCCAGCAGCCAGGACACCTTGTGAGACCCCAGCAGCAGGTTCTGACCAGAGCCTGAGCCCCAGATGGACCACAGTCCTGTCAAGATACAAACTGGGCTGGGCTCAGTGGCTCACACCTATAATCCCAGTACTTTGGGAGGCCGAGGCGGCCGGATCATGAGGATCGAGACCATCCTGGCCAACGTGGTGAAATCCTGTCTCTACTAAAAAAAAAAAAATACAAAAATTAACTGGGCGTGATGGTGCATGCCTATAATCCCAGCTACTTGGGAAGCTGAGGCAAGAGAATCACTTGAACCCGGGAGACGGAGTTGCAGTGAGCTGAGATCGCACCACTGCACTCCAGCCTGGTGACAGAGCATGACTTCATCTCAAAAAACAAACAAACAAACAAACAAAAACTGAAGCTCTGACAAACTCACATGCAAATAATGCAGTGATAAAACAGGGGTAAATCCAAGTCTGCCTCCATTGACCCAAACCTATCTTTAAAACGATCCCAATTTTCCTCCAAATGGAATCTTATTTATGACAAGATTATGCATAGGATTCCTTTAGATTTTTCTCTGTAACAATTTCTCCCTCATAGGAGGATGGGAAATGAAGGTAGGGATTTGCTTTCATTTATACTCCCTGAAGGATTTCAGTTGACATAAAAATGAATACCATCTAACATCCAAAAACCTGTTCCAAAAACAATTCCTGGTGTCAAGCAGGAGACTTCACCCCGGGTTTCAACCTGGGCACAGGCGGCTCCCCTCCTGCCCCTTCTCCCTCAGAGAACCTGGCTCTGCCATGGGCCTGAGGACAGCAGAGTTGTGGCTGAGGCTGCCTGGGCTGTGGGGAGACCATGGCTGACGTTCTGCCCTGGCCAGAAACACCCAGCAGTCGGACAGCTCACGGCCGGGAGGGGCAGCAGAACCTTGTGCAGTCAAGGCTATGGATTTAGAGCCCGGCTGAACTTGGGTTCCAGTTCTGGCTCCATTGCTTAACTTGGGATCCTGGGAGTCTTACTAGGTCTCTCTGAGGCTGTCTCTTTATCTTTGTACACGTGAACAATGGTTCCTGCTGGG